ATAATAGCGTACGTACAATAATATTATGGTCCTTTGATGAAAACGTTTCACCTAGGGGCTAACCATGAACTTAGTTATTAATACTTGTCAAGCTCCACGCAGGTCAGTCCTATTTGTATCATGAAGTGATTTTCGCTGACACATAATTCCATAGGCCATCTTCTTATTGATTATCCGTCCGATTTGACTGTTCCGATGTCGGCTTTTAAAAGGTTATCCGCAGTTTTCATAATGTTAACACCTCTAACCAGGTTAGGACACATTGTTACAATCAGGCATTTAATTAGTTTAAGTAACGAAAAGAACGGATATTATATTAGAAGGAGCTGCGCAGTTATTTCTAATATAATATCCGTTAGTACTTTAAACCCGTAATTTCAGATATTACAGCCGTAATTCTATATAAGTTTTCGGGTATGTCGTTATAAAAGAAAAGCTTTAAATTTTCTTTTAAACCGTTGGAAGGTTAAATTTGGGTGAGTTAAATAAACACATTTTTAACACAATTATAAATTTCTTTCATCGTGAAACTTATTCTATGTATTTAGAAAATGACATTAATTAGAATATCCAGAAATAACTTTAGAGAAGAGAACGAGAAGCGGGAAGCATAAAATAACTTTAAACATAAAACGCAAACTTATTATTATAACAAATTAATCTTTGCAATATCAAACTTATAAAAGCAAAGGGAAAATGTATGTCGTATGTGAAAATATGATATTATTATGTATGTACAGCCCTGCGATTCTGTAACTCACTTTTCGAACTCACACAGCGGTTTTTCGCATCGGCGGTCGCTCTGAAATCAGTCGTGAAGCAGTCATTTCATGATTTGGCATTCTAATAAACAATAAACTACAAGCTCCCACCTTTTCATAATGTCAAATCATAAAATGACTGCTTCACGACTGATTTGAGAGCGACCGCCGATGCGAAAACCGCTGTGTGAGTTCGAAAAGTGAGTTACAGAATCCCAGGGCAGTTTGTTTAAATATAACGCAATAAACAGGAAATGTAGGAAAATGAAACTCAGGAGTCGTAACCTAGTCGTAATTTCCCTTAATAACCCTTAATGAGTCTTGAAATTGTATCTTTACCCGACGAAATAGAACTAAATTATAACTTGCATACCAACCATTCTACGGAGTAAATTTTTTACTGTCATTAACAACAATGTAAAATTTACTTCAACTTGTTGTTTCTATCTAGTCCTACATCCCCATAATCGTATAATCAAAATTTTGTACATACTTACTCGGGAATTTCTTAGGTTTGTACGGACGGAGTGGAGTTAAATCCGAGGCAGTCATTGGCACTGTAACACACGTTACATGGTATATGCATTTTATCTTTATTTTATACAGTTACAACGCACATTACAGATTTCTGTCTGTACAATGAGCTTAATAATAACGAATCTGTGATAGAATAAAGTGAACAGGACTCAGAATAATTCATTGCATTTGCATATGGTTTTGATCTGTGAAACTAAAGGTATTAAAAGTACCTCATTATTGTTAGCTTGTCATTATTTGTATTATTGCATTAATATTTTTAAATATAATACTAGTGATGGAGAATTGCTGCATGCATTGCATTGAAGAAAATATATCACATATAACCTGTCGGTATAAGCTTTGTAATCTATATCTGAGAAAGTTTTTAAGTATTCATAATATACAAACACGGTTAAATTAATTATAGCAATATATTATTTAAATCTTCTGCGAGAGACGCCAACAATGAATAATACACTTCGTATATTATTCATACATTAGATCCATAAAAACATTCATTGAAACATTCCTAATCATAATAAAAAGTTTCAGTCAGAAGCAAAATAATTTACGACCAAAGAGTGCAGATAAGAATCTTACGAGAAATATCACGCTCTGTTTCTGAGTTGTAAAAGGAAGGAATTACTTGTTCCCTTGAGATATAACGCCCGATCGTTTGGGGCCTGGTATTAGGCAGACTTCTTTTATAATAGGGTGGCCTAGATGTTAACGTCTGTTTCTACGTTTTAAAGATTTAATTAAATGATCAGTTGAAGAAAGATCTACAAATTATGACCGTATATATACGTGTAGGTATATACGGTCTATTAAAATACTGATTCAAATAACCGATTTGGTAAGTATACAATTTTATACTTAACTTTATACTATCAGTTTAAAATTTGAGATACAGCTAAACCCTGTTCAAGCCCAATAGGGAGGACATGACTCTCATGACCCCGATAAATACCCGACTCTGTATCGGCCCTTCTGCTAGCTTCAAAATGAAACAATTTCAGGCAATTAATTCAACGTGTATTAATCACAAAGCTACGAGGGCGGCGTAACGATTTACAGTTTACGCGTATTTTCTTAAATATTATTGACGCATGGTGAATGGTGTAAGGTTTGAAAAGATATAAAAAAAAATTGTTTTTGTATAAAAAATATTCATGTTAAAAGTTACAAACTCTAACAGTTTTATTTCACTGAATAAAGGTTTATTGTACAAGACTCGTTATTTATCTTGTATTCAGACTAAATATTGATTCACGTCAACAAATATAATTAAATTAACATTCTCTAAAATTCTCAATCAGAACACAATCTCTCTCTCAATCTAAGGCCATAGAACGTAGTTGAAGAAAAGGCAAGAAACTCTCTGGTACTCTTTTTAATCGCGAACTATTGGAGATCACAAGATACTGGAATAGAGATGTCATCATTTTGCTCCACTGGACATAAATCAATAATAATAATAACAAAAAGCAGCGGAGCATAAGATTGGTGTTTTTATTATTTTTTGTGACCGCCGTTACAGGTTATAGGCCGGACAAGTCTATTTGGATTCGTAAATAAAACAGAAGTAGTTGATTCGATTTCATCGTCAATGAATATTTGGCCTAGTGGTATCAGCGCTCATCACTAAGTTCGTAGATTCGAATCCCGGCTATATAGTTTCTGTCAATGTGGGCATTTAACTCACGCTCGTACTTTGAAGGAAAACATAGTAAGAAGACTGACATCCATTATACCGAAATAGTCGATAGCGTGTGTCAGGCACATGGCTGATCACCAAGTAAACAATTATCGGCCTATTTGAAAAAACATTAACAACAAAAAATTCACGCAACAGAAACAGAAATCCGGGGCCCACCGCCCAGTAAAAACCTAAAACCTTGTAGTGTCATTGATTTTTTTGAATTAGTGTTAACAAATATATTTTCTATTATACTAATGTTACACTAGTTTACGTTTTATACACGATTATCACAACAAAAATATTCTTTTAAAAATTCTAAAGCATGGTAAATTTATTAAAATACATTTTTATTACAATTTAAAATAATATCTTATCATAAATTATGACGTATTGTTAGTACCTTAAGGTAACGTTTGGATAGTTACCTAATTTATAAAGAAGGTAAAAGTTATAAACTTTCTTCACGTTCGTGAGAATTACACTGAGCTGGTTTCAGCTAATTTTCACTTCAATTTGATTTAATCCCCCAGATTAGTTTAAACGTTGGATTCAAAATTACTTAAAGATTTACGCATCTGTTTTGAATAATAAATCCTATAACCACTTTCATCATCAAATGAATATTGGATACTGTACAAAGAAGGTTTAGTATAGTGGGGCAAATCTAAATTATTTATAATGTGCTCAAACTGTTTCATAAATTACAATATTTATTAAACACTAGTGGACCCTACAGACGTTGTCCTGCATGAAACCCCCCCCCCCCCCCCCCCCCCCCCCCCCCCCCCCCCCCCCCCCGCAAAAAGGAAAAAAAAAAAAAAAAAAAAAAAAACCCCCCCCCCCCCCCCCCCCCCCCGCCAAAAAAAAAACAAACCCCCCCCCACAAAAAAAAAAAAAAAAAAAAAAAAAAAAGGGGGGGGGGGGGGGGGGGGGGGGGCCCCCACACACACACGCACAGAAGAAATATATATATTAAAATGAGGCGCCTTCAATTAAAAATGTTATCTTAATATATATAAATTACGTGTCACGTTGTTTGTCAGCTATGGACTCCTAAACTACTGAACCGATTTCAATCAAATTTGCACACCGTGTGTAGTTTAATCTAACTTAAAAGATAGAATAGCTTACATATCAATTTATACCCGCAATATTATTTTATTGCAAAATATTTGTTTATTATTTGATAATCGCAATTCTAACAGATGGCGCTGTGTTGAAAGTACCAACGTTTCACTTAAGCTACAAATTAAGGGCATAACCAATAAAAAAGCATGGTCCCCATGACTGGTGTTCTCCTACCGTTTCCCTTGAATAGTTTACTGCTTTGTAATATAGCAAAAACCTTAGCCACAGCAACGCTTGGCCGAGTCTTCTAGTAGTTTATAAAAATCCAATCGACTAGAAGATTTTATAATTGTTAGTAATAATATAAGTGTATTAAAATTCCTACCGTGACATAATATTACAAGCAGTAACAAACGTTGGAACATTAACAAAATCAAGCGACCAGCTGAATTAACCGCGGTTTCGCACGCCGTTGCCCATAGTTAATGCTACGAATAACAAGTTAAATTTAATGGTTAAATATGTGGGTAAGCTTTCGTATTTTAAACAAATTAAGGCGCATCTTTCGCCCCTTTCTGTTTTGTTGAACACAAAGAGGCGAAAGATGAAAAGACGGCGTGTTCCATTTGATTGTAATTTGATTCTAGTTCAATACGCGAGACGCAAAATAATGCGTCATGATGTTATGTCCGAATGACCAATCACAATCAAACGCAACTCTCTAGTTTATTATCACATCTCAAGTCTCATCTCTCATCTATATACTGTAAACTATAACCATGTGCAGTCATCTGAAAGCGCAACCTGCTTAGAGCGGTACGGCTACCAACCGGCTTCCCCCTTAATGAAGGCTTCACTCTCAAGTCTCAGTTATAAAAGTTTGTGGACTCAGTTTCCGCACTTAGACTCTCACTAAGTCCGTTGTGCGTATCTCAGTTATAAAGTAAAATATGGTTTTTAAATTTGGAATGGGAATTGCACTATCCGGTATTTTCCAGTGGGGATTCAAGCTTATTTAATAGAACTTATACAATAATTATTTTGTATTAAATAAATAGACCGTCATCAGACATCACAGGTGGTTTATAGCACTGATCTAATAGTATACTAAAAATTATAAAAAAGGTTTGATTCCTTTTTAACATTTTTTATTATTTCCTGTTATTGTTAGTATAGTTATAGTATTAGTATGTTGGACGTGTTATTTCCTACCTATAATGAAATAATGTATTTCCCCTTAACACAATAAAAAGAAGTTGAAGTATGCTATTCGTGTTTGCATGGCTGTTACAATTTACCAGTACGAAATAACGAAAGTCACAAATAAGGGGCTATACACACAAGTCCATTCAGATTATAATACAATTATCTTTGAAAAAATAAACAATTTGATTCAAACACAAGCTTAGTATTTAAAAAATCATATGCAAATTTAATTTATTTTTTAGATTGAAAATTGTTTTATCTTGACACTTCATACCTATGAAAAAGAAAAATAATTGTAGCGTAATGGCCTTGGTCTCATATATGTATCTCTTTTGTGATCATTTTTATGTAAATAATTTTTAATTGAATAGATAGGACTTTTAAATTTGGAATTTATTTTATTTCCATTGACAAAATGATTCCGTAACCGGAAGTTGTGTGGATACGATACGATAAATAACAAGAAATTAAAGTTTTAATAAAGAAAAGAGACCAGTAGAATTCTCTATTTATAAAACATATGTAACAAATACAATCGTATTAATTTAGTAATAATAATATATTCATATCATAGTAGCATATAATAACATAAATAAAACACATTTTCTGCTACTCTCATTTATTCTTTATACACATAGGTGCAGGAAAACTGTGTAATAACCCCTAAGTCTATTGACACGCCGTCCTAATTGGCACATATGCCGTTATACCGGGGTGTATTGTATGAGCAAGTTGAATTCCTGTGAAGAGAGCGTATACAATTATTGGGTCGGCTTAATTGCTTAGTGGTTTGTAAGGAATCAATAAAGATACGTATTTTTCTATTAAATTGTGTGTATCACAGGAGGCTGATCACTTACTTGCCTATAAGATTGACAATCATAAAACACATACGGAATCCTGAGGCCTAGACCTAAAAAGGTTGTAGTGCCACAAGCGTGATCTGTGTCTGACACATGTCATCGATATTTGGATTTGAGACATGCCGGTTTTCTCACGAAGTTTGCCTTGTTGAAGCAAGTGCTGATTGCGCACATAAAATAAAATTTTAATTAGTGCACAGCCGTGATTTGAACGCAGAATCTCAGGGGTAAGGGTCGCACGTTATAGCCACTAGGCCCAACCTGTTCTCAATATCTACCAATTATACATAGAACATATATTTTCTTTTCAGAACGCTCGGAAGCGCTCAGCGGACGCTTGTCTAAGTCAGCCTCAGAGCTGTCATGTTCCGCTCCAGTTCACGCTTCTCCGCCTCGAGCCCGCTCTGCTCATCATCATACACCACTCTCTGTTGTACATAGAACCCATCATTTCTTTAGTAATTTGAAGGTAAGCACATCATAATATATTAAGGTAAGGTCGCATCGAGGTCTCCTATGAAAATAAATATGTTTTTTTAAGAAATTATAAAAGCGAGACAAAGAATTTAGAAGTAATTGCTTAACAGATTTGCCAAGCAAAGCAGCCGCTCAAAACATAAATCGAAATAAGTCATACTCAAACTACGCAGTTTTAACTAAAGTACTATATTACAAAGTTGATTTGACTCATAATTAAGACCCAAACAAACTTCTAACAATTACATCAAAGAGGATTGAGGTGACTATTATAGTCATTAATTCCAACCCACGCTCTTTTGGAAATTAGAGTGCCTACTTTTAATAATCAAAACTTGTAAGACAACTGTATTGACTAAACAATATTATTTTCGATCTATGACAAATTAAAAAAAACATAATTGTTTAAATTTGGAATGAAGTTTTGTTAAAGGGTATTTAAATACTTAGTAACCATGGAAATAATTACATAGATATTTTATTTCAGCAAAGTCTTTTTTGCAATTGCACTATAGGTTTTATACACTACATTAGACGCGTATTTTTGCAAGTTCTTGCAGTTTTACCCGCGGTATTTCGATGCTGTGCGATTATTGTTTTTCGATCACGTCTCACCAACTTTGTCAATATGTGTTAAGCAACCATAACAGTAAATATTTCATATTTCACAATGGTAATTCAACAGTGGTTAACGACCACTCTGTTCTATATTTGAATTTGTTTGAATTCCAATTTTCAATTCAAAGTACTTTTGAAATGAAACGATTAGCTATTTGTAAAAGCAAAGGGTGAAATTTCCAATTCATTTTCATTGCCTTACTTTCCGATATTACAAGCGAATTTCATTAATCAAAACTTCTTCGGTCTTATTACAAAACTGTGTGATACCGTACAAATTACGGCTACGATATTATTTCGATAATGGTATGGTTCATACCAAAACCACTACTACCTCTAGCTCACGTTTATAAGGCCGCTTATATCTTTCTATAGTCTAAGAAGATAAATATATAAATTAAACCACTACGATAGCTAATTTCTCAGTAATTATTAAATGTTTAGCATCGAAGTCCCTTCAGTACGGATTTCATTAACAAAGGTTTTACGCTTAACATAGTTTAATCAATTTAGTCCTTTTAGTCTCGTTTTTGTACTCAAATTTTACGAAGTTAATTCTGGAAAATACACAAAATGTTCGCTTGTTTTCTATATAATAATACGTTCGGAATTTTTTTATTAAAGATAAAATGGGCTCGTTCGAATTCAATTCAGTCATGGGCATTTTTTTTTTTTTTGACAATTCACACCAATTGACCTAGTCCCATGCTTAGCTGGTGAAGCTTGTGTTTTGGGCAACGGATATACATACATATTATAGATAGCACAACACCAAATGCTCATCACATCGATGTTTGTCTCAGCCGGGGATCGAGCCGGGCCCCATGGATTCGCAGTCAGGGGTACTAACCACTAGACCAATGAGCCGTCACTATAAGTAAAACTTTTGTTAGTGTAAACATACACAGAATGAAATAAACATTAAAACGTTAAGTAATGACCGAGCACTGAATTCTTGCCATAAATAGAATATAAATTTTATTTTTGTAACTTTTTAAATTAATCACTCAAACGTGACTGAAAAATTCTTGGCACGACGTTACCTCAATGAATAATTTAAAGGGGCTGTGGAGTTTTTTTATTCAATAGAGAGTTAATTAGGACAGGAGGGAATTAGATTATGGTCTGTATAAGTTTAGTACAGTGTTCTAACGACTGATGTAGTTGACCAATTTATGTCCATAAAATCGATTGGCGCTACAACCCTAGGTCCTAGATTTCTGTATCAGTTTCTTTTATAATTATTTGTATAGGCTCTTAGTTGATTAGCCTACTGTGCCATCGATTTAATATTTCAGATTTCCTAGTTTCTTCATAAAGATTTTTTACATATGAGCAAGCATTAATTGCGTGAAATAACAAATTTATCTTCGAAACAGTAAGTAATAAAAAAAACATGTATTTATATTTATATGGACCTCACGGGTAAAAGCATTCCACAATTTTCTACTTTTATTCTTTTAATTTAATTTCAATATTTTGATGTATCAAATTTCTTATTTTAGAACCGTTGGCAACGCAGTAAAAGTCGTGAAAGATGTCCAGCTGGTACAGTACTATCCGTAGCACCAGGAGCTGACAGCAGTGGCACGGACTATGAACACAGTTCCGAACCTACTCCCGCTAACTCACCATTGCATAGGATAAGGCAAGGTAAGCTAAGACTTTTGTAATAGCCTAGATTCACAGCCGAAAATATAAATTTAACAATACAAATATGGCTTAATTGTCACAGCCAAAACTACTGAATTTCTGGGTATACCGGCCTTACCGTTAACAAATAATAGTTAATTGGACTATTTATAAAGCCTGAATAGCCTTCTGTATCCGTTCACTCGAAACAATGTTTGTTTTGTCAGTTATATGTGAGTTTACTTCGAAACCAAGGAGGATGTTTAGCCGAGGGGGTCGATGGCTAGCCATGCGTCACACTCGTGAACGGGTGCTACTTGTGGTGACTGAATTCGTGTATGCGGTGATGTTAGTTATTTCGACTATCTGTTTGCGTGTTGTTCCCACGAGAATGTAAGTGCGTGCTTCTATTTAACCATGCCTCCTGCTGATAGAGGACGAGTCTTTGTTTTTAATTTACGTTATTATTATTAAGTACTTAAGATGTCATGTGGAACATGGTGTAATAGTTGCAGCTCCTTACAAATGTTGTGTAAAAAAAAAACATGGCGATTAAAAAGAGTGGCGGAGAGTTTATTGCCAGTTCTTCTCTTCCGTTTTCATATACATTATTTTTTTGACGATCATAAGTGTACAATGTTGTTACCTATAAATGATTTTTGAATTTTGAATTTTAGTACATATATACATTATACTCTAGTACAAAATAATCCAATAATAACACAAAATATATACTACGCTCGGCCCTAATTCGTAATACATTTTCATTCTAAAAGCAATTCTAACTGTCTGTTTCTGTGAGATGGGATAGTAAAAGTTTTTTAGAAACTTTTCCCGTCAGGTTTGTCGCTTTGAAAAAGTTTGGGAGTATCTCGATAGCAGACATACGACAGGTCCATTGAAATGTTTTGAGGGCCAAACTGAACATTTGTTAGGACGCAATTTTATTTATGGTACTTGTAGGGGGGTCAATACAAGCTTAAAAGTTTGTGGGGTTGTCACCCTTGTCCCCCGGCCGCCATCTTGGAAAAAGGGGTGAAAACACGTTTTTGTCTATATCTCCTAAACTATCCATCTTACAAAAAATTTGTGAGGACATATTTTGTAGCAAATCGCTTTGCCTACAATTATGTCTGTGTGACTTTTCATCATAAATCCAAAATTCAAAAAGTTAAAAAAATCCTATTTTGCTAAATAACTTTTTGGAGTTTACTCCTTAAGAAACGATTTGAGTTATAAGGCCCGGTACGGAAATTTTATGAGGAGTAAAAATCAAGGGTAACACGAAAAGTTGAGGCGTTATGTGTAACACGAAAAGTTGAGGCGTTATGTAGAAATAGACAAACATATATATCTGTAGGATTGAACGTAATTTACACACACTTTTATTTTATGAGGAGTAAAATCAAGTGTAACACGAAAAGTTGAGGCGTTATGTAGAAAGAGACAAATGGATTGAACGTGTAAAAGAATGAGATGGAATACATTACACAGACTTTTCTATTTTGAATTTACGTTTTGACAGCTACGTTACAACATTGTCAGTGTTGACAGGTGTAAAAAATAAAAGTAGATTGTCTAGCGTGCCATAGAGTTTTGTCAATAGTAATGGTCAGTGAAATTAAAACTAAAAAGATTGTTCATTCTTATTCTTCTCTTACTATAAAGGTAACTTTGGTCACAGAAAGAAAATCCTATTTGGGCATAGATGATGTAGGTACGTTTTATTACTACTACAAAAATTTATATTATAAAAACATATATTCTTACCACCTTTAGTATGAAAATATGGTCGACAGCCACAGAACATTATCGCCATTTTATCGTTCGTAAGGAGTAAACTCCAATCGTGCGTCGTAGCTGACACACACACACTTTTTTTTTCTTTTGATTTTATCAAAACTATTAAAACAATTTTGTAGAGGATCTCTTTTTGAAGATTTACCTCCATATATTTTTTTTAATTTCTTTCATTGGAAACGCTGTTACAGCGCTCCAAAGAGGTCATAACAACATTCTTACTTTATTTTTATGATCTCTCGTTTATTTTTAACAAATTTTCGAAAATTTTTGTTCAATTCCAACAGTTTTACTTATATATTACTGACTCTTTTCCCCGCCACCTATGAGAAAACTACAAGTTTATTAACTTCGCCAAAAGATGGCGTGAAAAATATATTATTATAAAAATTGAATATGAATTAGGAGCCCATAACAAATCAGGTAATTAAAAACACAGTAAGTTATATTTCACGTAAAACAGAATATGAAGTAATTTGCCAAATTCTTGCGTATTGTTGCGTAGCGCCATCTGTAGAGGTACTTTGGCATCTGATCCAAGTCTGCGTACAACTATAACGTTCGCTTGCGAAGTAATGTAGTAAGGTTTAGGACCTAATATTTTTAAATGTCTCCAAAAGAGGGTAGACTGACAAGTCATTCACGTATTAAATTGTCTTTGGTGCCTCTATACCATAAAATAAAATTAAAATATAATTTACTCATATGTACGTTATTAAAGCGTTGTACGAATGAGAACAAATGGCAACAAACTCTTAGTTACTCTTTGTAATGAAATCGCCATATGATAGGCTTGAATTTTCGTGTTCCTCAAAACAAAACAAACGTTAAACCTCTATCAGTAGTAGCCATGGTTGATGGTGACCCGTTATCGAGTAACGCATCGGCCTCTTCACCACATTGTAGGGAGAGGGACAAACCGAAGCATGGTCGCCACCACAAGCAATAACATTAAAGCTCATCATGTTAAAGTTTTGTTTGTTTTGTTAAAGTTTTAAATGTTAAAGTTAAAATTACATTTTTTTTTAATTCTCGTCCTGGGGATCCCACAGCACAGTATAGTTTCGGTACAATCCGATTAGAGAAAACATTCTTCCTCCGACCAATCCATTTAGGGATGTGACATTCTGCATAAAAAATCGATTTTTTATTAATCGATTATTTTTGTAGCATGAATAATCGATTAATAAATAATCGATTTTTCTTAAAAAAATAATGATTTTTTTTTATTAATCGATTTTTTCCTAATTTTTGAATTAATTTCAAAATAAACACCCTAAATATTTTATTTTTCATAGTTTTTTAAATTAAAAATAAACAATAGAAATTATAAACACAAATTAACGTTTAAGAATAATCAAAATCGAAATTAACTTAATCTTGTTTTGATAGATTTTGATAAATGCTGAGTGTATTCCTTTTCAGTAGCACATTGCAGTATTTTTGTTGTCTTTTTAATTGTATGTAGTCTTGTGCTGCTGAATAAATTTATTTTACTTTTAAATTATAGTGATCCATTCAATCTTTAGTTTTTGTAAAATTAACTGCTTTTTAAATCCTTTTGATGTTTTACAAAAAAAAAACAATGTATCGAGTATATCAATACAAGATGTATTGATATACAAAAAGAAAAGAAACGGATTCAATGTATCGCATTGTAAACATCGTTGTGTATCGAATATCCCTAATAATTCGAGGTCCGGGTTATAAAAGACCAGACATAATGTCGGGAGGTGGCAGATAAAAAATCGATTATGACTGATTTTCCATTATAAAAATAATCAATTATTAATCGATTATTTTAAATATAAAAATCGCGTAAAAAATCGATTAAAATCGATTTTTTTAATAATCGATTATTTTTTCACATCCCTAAATCCATTTAACCGAGCGTGATATACGACACATACGCACGTACGTGATATCTCTTGATAATTCTCGAGTCTGAAAAAGCCTAGAGTGCCGCTCTGTTATCTCTTTCGAACATTTCTACATCAAACAATAGATAGTGCTGAACTGAAGCAAATCATATCCAAGTAAGATCATTTATCTAAGCTTAGCCTGCAGCTTTATTTTGACGTTCGATTTCAATTTATGACAACACTTTACCTTATTAGGGATTTTGTTAATTATTGCCCTGGGGGCTGGGAGAAATACTCATTTTATGAAGGCTTGAGGATGGTGCACTAATTTGTCTTCATTATGAATATTATAGTTACTATCCTTTTAAATACAATAGTTTTCCATATAAAATATTCTCGTAAACGTAGGATTGTAGTGTGGACTCAGTTTCCGCACTTAGACGCTCACTTGGTCCGTTGTGCGTTAATCTCGTAAATGTATTGAATAGCCAGATTTAAAATAAATTCTTTAAATGTATGAAGCTAAAATAGATAATATCGCGTATTTTTTCTTGCTTGTAAAGTATATAAACATTTTTAAGCTATTGCATAGATTTTATCGCGGGCGGCGACCGAATCAAGAAATTCCGTAACGAAAAAACCAGTGCGGCCAATACGCGTTAGAGCGGGACAGAACGCATACTGCATCTCACATCGGTTTAGCGTGATCGGATAGGCGTGTTAGTCTGAATCTGGTAGAGTGGTAGATTGAATTAATATGAAAAAAAAATTCTGCAAAAAATAAATAAATAATAATAAAACAAATTTTATGTTATAGGAGGCAAACGGGCAGGAGGCTCACATGATGTTAAGTGATACCGCCGCCCATGGACACTCACAATGCTTGCAAGTGCGTTGCCGGCCTTTCAAGAATTGGAACGCTCTTTTCTTGAAGGACCCTAACTCGAATTGGTTCGGAAATACTTCAGTGGGCAGCTGGTTCCACGTAGTGGTAGTGCGCGGCAAAAACTGCCTTAGAAAACGCTCAGTTGTGGAACGACGGACGTCGAGGTGATACGGATGGTATTTTGTATTTTGCCTTGACGTCCGTTGATGAAACTCAGCTGTAGGTATTAGACCGAACAACTCCTCTGAACACTCTCTATGGTAAATGCGGTAGAAGATGCAGAGAGACCCCACATCTCTACGCAACGACAAGGGATCAAGCCGCACGGAAAGTGACTGGTCGTCGACGATTGGAACCGCTCTTTGTTGAATACATTAAAAAAGCGAGTCTACTCCTCCCTCAAAGGCCGGCACCCACTAAAAATGGGTGTCTATGTCCGCCCTTTTTGGTCGTCCCGCAAGCTCGTTTGCCCCCCCATTATATATATAAAAAAAAAGGTCAAGTGGAAGGAGCTGGTACTGGGGAGCTCCCGCCCAGAGGTGAGAACAGTATTCCATGAGGGGCCGAATTTGCGGTTTATAGAGTTGCAAGCGGTGGCCCGGAGTAAAGTACCGTCTCGCCTTGCTGAGCACACCAAGCTCTTTGGAGGCTAATTTAGCATTCCAGATGACCGCGAAACTGAACGTTATTCGATATGTCAACGCCCAGTATTCCGATGCTCACTGAGGCTTTAAGGAGAGTGTCTTCAAAGAGGGGAGTAGCGACAAAAAACTTTTTATTGCATAAGTTTATAAAAAAATGCTATGCAATAGCTTTACCGCGGCAGTCCCCGAGTGCCACACGTTTTTTTTTTTTTGAGGGCCACTTTTAGCAGTCTCATATCATAAAAAAGGTGAATACTCGACTAAACAAAAGCGAATCACCCACATAACATCTACATTATTTTACTGAAATTGGATACTAAATTTTAGTTCACGAAGGTTAATCTAAAAATGTCGGCTTTTCGTGTCATTTTAATGACATGCGACCTTAGCAAATTTGGACCCGTGTAATAGGGCTGTACAAACCAAATAATATTATCTCATTCTAGTACTCTCTTTGAAATTAAGTTTTAATAAAGTTTGTTTCTGCAGTAAATATTTTTAACTTTTTATTATAAACTTAATAGTGTTTTAATTATTGCGACATATCAAATTACTTATGTATAAAATAATAGTGTGTGATTGACATAATATTGTAATTATATTTAGTATTGCTATAAAATAGTCTAGTATAAACTAGAACTAAACATTTGCGAAAACCGGCACCTAAAGAAAGTAACGTTTCGTTAAATAAATTTAATTTAATTAAACAATTATAAGTGTAAGTACTACGTCTCTGACGTAGTAGTTATGCCAAAAGTCAAAAGCCACCTCTTGACCGTCCACAAGCAGAAGATAGAAGATATAATTCTTGTATAAAATTCAACACTGATGGGGCAGAAAACCGCTTTCAAAGATTTTATTGATTCCCGTCCGAATGTTTTTTTTATGATATGGCAAAAGTGCATAGATAGCAATGGTTCATACTTTGATTAATTAAATCTTTTCTTTTAAAAAAAAATACTTTTTGTTCCTCCCATGCAAAACGCCAATTTCATATGTAAGGACCTAATACATAGGTGCTAAAAGTCGCTTATGTATGCTTACTTCGTTGTTACAGGAAGTTTGTGAAAAGGACGGCGATCCGTTTATCTTATATATGCAGATAATAACATATAAGCTTCACGTTTCAATACTCTTCGATAACCCTATATTAAATTACCGTTTTCAATAGAGGGTACGGGTCTAAACTTAGTGCTAAGAGAATCATTTTAGGTAATCTACTTAGTTGGACAACAAGCTAGAACTTCAGACGAGTTTCAAACATTTAACTTAAATTACGTTAACTTTGTTACATTAGAAATATAGTTATTTTGGGTGTGGGTACAAGCATTAGCTTCGTTCCTTCGTTCTTAGGTAGATAAAACTTAGTATATAAATACTGAATCACATACTAAACAAAAGCTACTCGCTAACGCATAGTCATTATACTAGCATTATGCTAAAGATTGCCATATTAACGCCATCTATTGTCGCAAAGTTACAAAAACTACAACTGCTGTCAACTAAAATGTCAAAACGTTAACTATAATGTCGATTCGTTAATGTCGTAATTTCATGTTTAACCCGTTTCAGTAGTTTAAAATTTGTAATATTTTGTGGTACCTTGCGTAGGCCAAACGCCGTTCTATTTGATTGTCAATCGATAGTAAGATGGGCACGCTTTCTATTATCATACTCTCACAAAAAATGAGGTGATAATATGTGTATAGTTTGTCTTATATGGTGATGTAACTCACTTAGGGACGTCCTTGATTGTAATTTAGATAATTTGTCTCGAGAGGTAATTGCTTGTGATTCAGGAGACTTGCTTCGGCTAATGACTAGGTACGTGTCTAGATATGGTACGTACTACATTATACATAAAGTATAATGTGTCCAAGTATATACAGAGTCGAATTACATAAGGAAGATAAGCCAATCGCCATAAGGGTCAACAGAGTCACTGACTTAATATAGAATAGAGTTGGCTTAGTAGCTTCCTCGTGCGACTCTTATCTCTGAAGTCGCAGGTTCGAACCCCGGCTGTGCACCAATGAACTTTCTGTCTATGTCCGCATTAAACTCGCTTGTACGGTGAAGGAAAACTTCATGAGGAAACGGCCCTATGGCCATGTATATAAGATACAGAATGCTGCCTACTTACTTGTCTATTAGAAAAAAACAAGTGACCACTAAACAGTCACAGACATTTGAGGGCTATGTTTTAAAGGGTTGAAGCCCCACTAGTTTTTCTTTAATGTAATTTGGTGAACATGACTTAAAATAGAAAATTACATTTGACAAACTTAAATAAAAATAGTGTGGTGGATAAAGTTTTATTTCTTGACATACTATCTGCTCTTCAAAGACTAAAAGCATGATAAGAAGTTTGTCCCTTATTTACCTTTGTGTCAAGAGAAATAGGCTTATCAGCGGTCGCCAGTAGTGAGATTCCAATTAACTTTTAAAGGGACTACACTAATCCCAAATGAATTCTACACAAAGGAGTCTTCATCTAACGGAATGGGCCATATCGAGGACAATCTTACTTCATTAACTCAGTAAATAAGATGTTTAA